CAAGCTTTCACTTAGTGGTTGTCCATCTGAGAGGAGTTTTTAAATGTATCATTCTGCCTTGTTGCTTAAAATGTGTTTTGGTGTTGATTTTGTGTGGTATTTGATTGATTTACAATATTAGTGTACTTACCATTGGGGCTTTTAAATATTGTCTTTAGTGATGTAAGCGGCATTGAGTCCTCTTTAAGAAGAAGGAGTGAAAATATTTGTGTGAGCCTCTCCTCAAGCACCCACAACAAAGGCATACGAGACAGTTTATACTGATACCAACAGTGGCACAATTGGGAATAGAGAAGAAAGTGAGTGGGAAAGTGGAGCGAGAGGGAGGCGGGAAAGGGGAGGAAATAGTGGATATCTGGTGACAGGTTCTGAGGAAAGGTTAGAAGGTGAAAGAGAGCTAGACTGAGAGACAGAGGTAGAAAAAGAGGAAAAAAGAAGGAAAGTGAGGTGAAGGAGGAGGACATTCATCTAGGATGGGGATGGTTAGAGATGGAAGCCCCCTGGACTGAAGAGCATGTTAAAATGAAACTGCCTGTAGAGGAAATAAAAAAAGGAAGCAACAATATCACATGGTTAGGTCCACGGGGGAAAGAAGAGAGAGAAGATAGAAGGATTTGTGATACACTTGGGTGAGGCTGAACCTGAAGAATGAACAGTGTATATCTACACTGTGGAAGAAGGGGACCTGCCAGATGTGATCCCTCAACTAGAAATGCCCACGGAGGGAGAGTGGGCTTGGCACCTGTTGCAGCACCATATGCCCCAGTCTAAGGAAACCTATGAGAAGGCCGATGGATTGTTAATGGTTTGGAGTGAACCCCCAATGGTGAACTCTTTTGTGACTCGAGACTGTTATGTTAAATGGAAAGAAGCGGAAGGACCCATTGGTCCAACTGAAGTTATTATTAGAGATGGGGGTATTCGTATACGAATATCCCTGCACAGTGCCTCTGCTGCCAGCTCTGCAGTGCCTTCCTATTGCGCCATTGTCCTCAATAGATTACCCAGTCCTGGCAGGAGGCGGGATGACAAGCTTCTCTGCTAGTTTGGAGAGTGGCTAATCCATTGCGGAGGACAGCTTGATAGGAAGCTGCACGGAGCCAGCAGCAGCAGCAAAATCGTGAGTGGACAGTCCGGCCCCATTGGTCCAGACCCTTGTTATTTCCATCTGTGCAGGGATATTCGTATTTGTATATGAATACCCCCATCTCTAGTTATTATTCATAGTCCACCTAAGTTCGAAAATAAAAACATGTTTGTGAAAAGGAGCTATCACCGCTTTATGGTGAATAAAAAGAGGAATGGGGTTTTCCCAAACTTAAACCCACAGGTAGAGAAGGTGGCAATCATATAGCAATAGAAAAGAAGTATGTACTGAGAGGACTGTTGATGATTTTCTTATGTATGTTTATCTGAGAAACTTCTGTTATTATTCAATCTGCTTCACTTCAATAAATAAGTTCTGTTTCTCTTCACAAGACAAGTGTTCTGACAAATGTCATTTATATTGTGGGTTGAGATAATCCACTGGTGGCAGCGAGAAGAAAACACGACGTGAGCCTTTGTGAGGGAAAAACAAGCAGGGGCCACAAGGGCAAACGCCACAATGTGACCTCTAAATGAAATTATATATGTAACTTTCATACTGTCCATTAGGCCAAGATGGTTGCTCTTCCCTTGGTTACAGCTGCAACCAAACTGATTGTGAAAATGGGAGTGCGGGGAGTTTCTTTTGTCTGGTTGATGTTAGGGTAGTCATCACCCTAAAGGACAACATGCATCACCCTAAAAGGCAAAATGACATGATTTGCATAATATTGCATCTACTAATTTGTATACACTGACATAGCATTAGAAAAAAAATTTATAATTAGAATAGTTTTAATGCATTTTATCTGAATAGTGAAGACCAAGTGACTGTATTTATGGAGAGCCTCCTGTTTGGGTAACATCAAAGTCATTAAAACAGACTTGGACAGTCTTCACATGGAGGATACATTCGAAAGGAAGATTGTTCTCTGCCACTTCTTAAAATGGAAGACTATCCTCCCTTGTGGACACCCTGGTTGATCTCTCTCTCTCTCTCTCTCTCTGTATGAGAGAGAACAAATATGACTCATAATTAGATGTTTTATGAAAATCATTGATAATAAATTCTGGTGATGAGATCTGAATGCAATCAGAATAATTAGTGAGTTATTAGTTATCAGAGTCAACATGGTGTAGCAAATAGTGTGTCAGCCTAGCAGTCAGGAGAACTGGATTCAAAATCACCAGGGGAGTTGGTGGAAACCCTCAGAAACCCTAATAGGATTGGCCTGAATTGGAAATGAGTTTGTTTCTCCTGCAAAAAATGGAGGAAGAAAGCAGAGGATTAGCTATCTTTGACTTGATTCTTATCAACAAGGATGAGTTAGTGGATGAAGTGGCAGTAAGGGGAAATCAGGGGGAGGGGGTGGGAAGAGACCATGTTGTATGTGAGTTCCTAATTTCGAAGGAAGCAAACTGTGAGTGTAGCTGCACATGCATGCTAGATTTTAGGAAAGCCAATTTTAATAAACTTGGAACAATGGTAAGTAAAGGCTTATGGCAAGAGATCCTTGAAAAGAGAAAAAGAGTACGAGATGGGTGCACATTTCTAAAAAGAAAAAATTATTTCTATTTTGCTTTTACCTATAAAGCTTTCTCAGACTGTGAGGAGGTAACAAGTGGCTCAGTCTTGGGCCTGGGGTTCTTTAACATTTTTATTGATCACTTGGATGAAGAGGTGCAGGGAATATTTATCAAATTTGTAGATGACACAAAATTGGGTGGAATAGCTAATAAATACTTTGGAAGGCAGAAACAACATTCAAAGAGATATGGATAAGCTCAAGCACTTTTGAGCTGAAAACAACAGAATGAAATTTGAATTCCTGCAGTGTGTTGGTCTTGATGGCCCCTTCCAACTCAATTAATCTATGAGTCTAAAAGGAATACGTACAAAGCTGTACATCTAGGAAAAAGAAACTACATGCATGGTTACAAGATGGAGGACAGGGATACTACATTAAGAAAGCATCTTGGAAATGTTGTAGATTGCAAGTGGAATATGGGCCAAAAGGAATGCAGCTATTTTAGGCTGCATTAACTTAAGTATGGTTTCAAAATCATGTAAAGTACTAGTTCCTCTCTATATGGCACTAGTTAGGTTTACTGTAGTTTGGGTATCTGGCTGTGGAGCCAAAGGTTTGACACTGTGCCTTTTTAACAAGGGCTGGACTTGATGATAGGGTTCCTTCCAGCTCTGCAGTTCTAAGATGATGACGACAATTATTGTGTCCAGTTCTGCATCCTACTGTGGACACTGCATTTTACAAAGGATGTAGACAAACTGGAAGAGGTTCATAGATGGCATCAAGGATGATCAGGGGACTGGATCAGTCCCTGATAAGGGACTGAAAGATCTGGTCATGTTTAGTCTTGATGAATGAAGACTATGCATAGGGGAAATATGCATAGCATCATTCAAATACTTGAAAAGTTGTCATACAAAGGAGGGGCAAAGTACAGGACACATAATATAGGCTTAAGTTACAGGAAGCCAAATTTCAATTGAGTGTCAGGAAAAACATCAGTTGGGTATCAGGGAAAACTTCCTAACAACTACAGCAGTAAGAGAATGGAACCAATTACCACAGGAGGTAGTGAATTCTCCAACACTGGAGGTGTTCAAGAGAAAGTTAGACAGCCATCTGTCTCATATAATGTAACTTGGTTTCTGCATGAGTGGGGATTTGGACTCAATTGCCTTATACGAGGTCCCTTCCAGCTCCCTTATTCTATGAGTCTATGATGGTACATGACATTATAATAAGGGTGCAATTACACAGGGGAGAATTCCCAGTTTGCTTTGATGTTTGTGAAACCGGGTTCCTTCAGGCCCATGGGTTGAATCTCTGCAGCTATCCACACCAGTTAATATGTTGCAGGTGTCCATAGGGTCAGAGGCAGAAAGCTGTGAAAACAGCCAGCTTTGCTGACATTAGGAGTTTCCACTGGGATCATTCCCTCCAGGCTCTTTTTAATTTTTTTAATTTTTCCAGAGTGACATAGTGCATATCTGGTGCAGTCCTGCCTTTCACAAACATCATCATCATCATAATTGTGTGTGTGTATAGAAATGTTTGGAGAAAGGGAAACAACAGGCACTCAGCTTAGGGGCATTACTGTAATTGCGCAACCACTGAAACCCACCCGTCCCATGACCACCCGTTTGCATTAGTTTAGAGATTATATAAATGCTAGCAACCAGGGGAAAAACGCAATGGCAACCAAATTGGAGCAAAATAAACCATCCCCTACTGGCTGAAAAAAAAAATGAGATTATTTCCCAATGAAAAATACTGGGCTTCCCCACACTTGGCTTGAAGCACCTTTTTGTACCTTGATTTCCACCCCAGGTAAACACTACAGCTGATTGCACCCCCTAGAAAGTCTATCACTACAGGTGTGGAAGAGCTGAAATGAATTCAAGCTTTGACGGTGTCAGCATCTATGGGAAAGCAGGAGAACCTGTTGGCTCATAGGCAATAGTGTGGGGACAGGGGCATGTAACATCATAACTGGTCCTGTTTTAGAAGCTTCTAAACTGTCATGGCACAGAGAAAACCCATACATGTGAGTCACAGAGATCATGAAGAAAAGAATCTGTTATATTTCCATGATGGTGATGATATGCATTTAAGTCAATTCTGACTTATGGGAACCCTTTTCAGGGTTTTCCAGGTAGAGAATATTCAGCAGAAGTTTACCATTTCCTTCTTCTAGGGGCACTCTGGGACTGTGCAGCGTGCTCAAGGCCAAACAGGTGGGCTGTTTTCCCAGGAAGCACAAGAATTCCCACCCTTTAACTCTGCAGCCAAATACCTAAACATATCTAGCCAGCAATTTTCATAAGCCCTTCAATTTATTATTCACAAACAAATAAGCCTAGTTTTAAAAAATCAGAGAGTCTGGGCTTTCAGTACCACAGACTACATAATCTGCTTTTAATAGTAATTAAATAAGTTGCTTAATACATGTAACAGTGTTGACTTTCCAGTTAGTAGACTGTAACATCTGGCAAATACTGTACAACAGAAAATAACGGGGGTGGCTGAGAGTCACTAAATGAGTAACGTTTCACTACTATAAACTCATAACGAAAGCGGATGTACCACATAGATTTGGAAAACTAGCATTATACATTACTAAACCTTAATTCAGCTACAGTAATTCAAAGTACAAGAAATAACAGTTCAACTCAGCAGAGTGCTTTATCGAGCTCCAAAGCTGTAGTAGTAAGGTTCATCAGGTCGATATCCATAAGCAGTAGTGGGGCGGCTTGGCATACCCACTGGCTGGCCAAATCCATCCATTGCAACACTATATAGAAAAGAAAGCACAAATTAGTTGTTTGTATTAGAGGCACAATATGTCACTCGGTGATTCAACCTTTTTAGAGTGTAGAAACCCCTGTTAACCCAATTAACAACAGTGATAATTTGGTGTGATCCCTAAAGAGATCCCTAAAGTCTTTAATTACCAAAAACCTCCACCACTGGTAAAGACCACAGAGCTATTTTCAGTAATTAAAGACTTACTCTCCCCATCTCATAGCCCCCATAGGTTCCCAATGATAAGAATGATTACACAAAAGGTGTGGATGTCTAGGAACATAAAAATATATATATTTTTAAAAAGGCCTGACTGATTATATAAGTTACACCACATCTTTATGTGGGATAGCTTACATGAACAGGATTTCAGCCACTGTTATTTTTATTATAATCTGCCCTAAGAATCTGCTTACTGACATGTGGGAAAAAATGTGAAGGAATAGGAAAATCTCCATTAAAAATGACATTGAGATTGTGTGTATTGTCTTATGCTGTTTAGTGTAGTGGTGCCTTGACTTACGAACGTCCCTACTTACGACCATTTCGAGTTACAATCAGCTCCGGCCGCAAAATTTTGCTTCTACCTGTGACCGGAGCTTCCACTTACGAACAGAAAAAGGCAGGGGAAAAAGGCGGGAAATTCAAATTGCTAACTGTAGGTGGTGATGAGGCTGCTTCTTTGTAGCTCTTTCGCCCCGGCAGTTAGACAGTGTGCATCGGAGGAGGCTTCGGACTGCCTTGCTTCTGCTTCTGAGTGAGCGTGTGTATGTGTCTGCAGGGAGGCTGCGGGCTGCCTGGTAAGGTAAGGTGCTGTTTTCTGCTTTATAAAAACTGTTCTGGGTGTTTTTGCAGTGAGGTTTTGGGCTGGGGGAGGTTATGTTTCTGTGGTGTGATGGGTCTTGGGGGGGTTGTTTGTTTTTTGGTGTTTTTCCCCCATTTCCGATGGGACTTGGGGGGGTCTGTTGCTTTTTTGAGGGGCCTCAATTTCCAATGGGTCTTGGGGTTTGGGGTTTTTTTTTTGCTTCCCCCATTTCTGTTGGGTCTTGGAGGGTTTGGTTGCTTTTTGGGTCCCCCCCATTTCCAATGGGTCCTGCGTGCTTCCCTTGCTTTTTACTATGTTTTCTGTGCATTTCCAACCTGCCCCCTTTGTTCTCTGTGCATTTCCGATCTGCTCTGTTTGTTTTCTGTGCATTTCCAATGGGTCTTGCACGCTTGATTGCTTTTCTCCCCCCCCCTTCGGCCAGAAGGGATTAATTACGTTTCCAATGACTTTTTGACCTATCCCTTTTGTTCTATGTGCATTTTCGATCTGCTCTGTTTGTTTTCTGTGCATTTCCAATGGGTCGTGCATGCCTGATTGCTTTTCTCCCTCCCCCCCCGACCGGAAGGGATTAATTGCGTTTCCAATGAGTCTTGCAGTGATTTTTTTTTTTGGTGATTTTTTTCTTTGGCCGGAAAGGATTAATTGCATTCAATGCATTCCTATGGGAAATGTTGCTTTGACTTACGACCATTTTGAGTAAGTCGAGGCACCACTGCATTGTGATTACTGTTTTAAAAAAAAATTATAGATAAGAGATACTTTTATTATTTTGTAAATGACTCTGAACAACCCATAGAGGAAGTATGATTAAAAACAATACTTTTTTTTGAATATGTAGGCTCTGTTTTACCTTTGCTTGTCTTGTTCTCCATTGACTTAAGGACATAAGCACCCTGATTATCCATTATTATTATGCACATCAGCTATGTGCTATTCTGATATTTCTCAAGTTCATTTTTATTGATCTTATTTTGGAGCACCCACGATGCAGCTGTACTATAAAATCCTGCCTAAGTATATGAGTTCCCTTATGTCAGATCATTGAACCATCATACTCAGTAGGCTGTTTGAAAAGCCTGTGCAGGTACTTCTGATATATACTGACTGATATTTATGTAAATACTTACAAGCCATAATAGCTTCTAGACAACTGCACCAAGACAGTGAACCAGAGATCTTTGGGAACAGACAGAAGCTCCCTTCGCCAGCACTAATGTTGTCTCCTATTTGATGTATGTATTTACTGGATTCAAGGATGTACAGAAGCAGGCAGCTTAGAAGTGTCCTTCTGGAATCACTAGATGGCACTGTTTCATCTCTGACTATCAGAAACTGCTTTGTTCAAGGTAATTTCATCTACTTCATCTTAGCAAAAAATACCCCTAAACATATTTTTAATTACTTTGGGAGTAGGGGCATGGTTCCAATTAAAATCTGATGAAATTAACTCTTTTTGTCCAATAAACATGTACATAATTAGATGCAGAGCCTTAGTGATGAGAACTCAAGATATTTAGGTTATTTCAAAATGGTTTACATATGCAGTGGCTCAGTTAAGAGAGTTTGGGACATTACACAAAACTGGTATTAAAGCAACTACAGAGCACATTGGATATCAAGCATAGTTTTAATGTTATTTTTACATGCATGTATGCTCTATCACCAGCAGTGTAGTGTCCGGAGTTTGCCTCCTGGAGTTTGGTCAAATTCATGTTGGTACTTCAGTGACACTGTCCAAGCATCTCATCCTCTGTCGTCCCCTTCTCCTCTTGCCTTCACACTTTCCTAACACCAGGGTCTTTTCCGGGGAGTCTTCTCTTCTCATGAGACGGCCAAAGTATTGGAGCCTCAGCTTCAGGATCTGTCCTTCCAGTGAGCACTCAGGGTTGATTTCCTTCAAAATGGATAGGTTTGTTCTCTTTGCAGTCCAGGGGACTCTCAAGAGTCTCCTCCAACACCACAATCCAAAAGCATCAATTCTTCAGCGGTCAGCCTTCTTTATGATCCAGCTCGTATTTCCATACATTGCTACTGGAATAACCATAGCTTTGACTATGCGGACCTTTGTTGACAAGGTGATGTCTCTGCTTTTGAAGATGCTGTCTAGGTTTGCCATTGCTTTCCTACCCTGAAGCAGGTGTCTTTTAATTTCATGGCTGCTGTCACCATCTGCAGTGATCATGGAGCCCAAGAAAGTAAAATCTGTCACTGCCTCCATATCTTCCCCTTCTATTGCCAGGAGATGATGGGACCAGTGACCATGATCTTAGTTTTTTTGAGGTTGAGCTTCAGACCATTTTTTGCACTCTCCTCTTTCACCTTCATGAAGAAGTTCTTTAATTACTCCTCACTTTCTGCCATCAGAGTGGTATCGTCTACATATCTGAGGCTGTTGATATTTCTTCCAGCAATTTTAATTCCGGCTTGGGATTCCTCCAGCCCAGCCTTTCGCATGACGTATTCTGCATATAAGTTAAATAAGCACGGAGACAATATACAGCCTTGTACTCCTTTCCCAATTTTGAACCAATCAGTTGTTCCATATCCAGTTCTAACTGTTGCTTCCTGTCCCACAGTATAGATTTCTCAGGAGATAGATAAGGTGGTCAGGCACTCCCATTTCTTTAAGAACTTGCCATGGTTTGTTGTGGTCCACACAGTCAAAGGCTTTTGCAGCCGCCTAGAGTGGTCGAAATGACTAGATAGGCGGGGTATAAATACAATAAATAAATAAAACAAATAAATAAAATAAATGAAGCAGAAGATGATGTTTTTCTGGAACTCTCTGGCTCCATAATCCAGCACATGTTAGCAATCTGGTCTCTAGTTCCTCTGCCCCTTCGGAATCCAGCTTGTACTTCTGGGAGTCCTCAGTCCACATACTGCTGAAGCCTACCTTGTAGGATTTTGAGCATAACCTTGCTAGCATATGAAACGAGTGCAATTGTACGGTAGCTAGAGCATTCTTTGGCACTGCCCTTCTTTGGGATTGGGATGTAGAATGTTCAGTCCTCTGGCCACTGCTGAGGTTTCCAAACTTGCTGGCATATTGAGTGTAGCACCTTAACAGTGTCATCTTTTATGATTTTAAATAGTTCAACTGGAATCCCATGACATCCACTGGCCTTGTTGTTAGACAAGCTTTCTAAGGCCCACTTTTGACTTCACTCTCCAGGATGTCTGGCTCAAGGTCAGCAACCAGACTATCTGGGTTGTCCGGGACAACCAGATCTTTCTGGTATAATTCCTCTGTGTATTCTTGCCACCTCTTCTTGATGTCTTCTGCTTCTGTAAGATCCCTACCATTTTTGTATTTTATTAAAAATGTGTAGCTTGCATAATTAAACTGTAAACTACCCAGAGAATGCTTTAAGCGCTATAGGGTGGTATATAAAAAGCAAACATTGCTTTATTTTACTTTGGTCAGACCTCACCTAGAGCATGACTTCCAGTTCTTAAACTGCACCACAGTTTAAGAAGCATATTGAGAAGCTGGATCATGTTTGGAGGAGGGCAAACAGAATGATAAGAGGTGTGGAAACTAAGTCTTATGAAAAAAGGTTGAGGGACCTTGACATATTTAACGTGGGGAAGAGAATGCAAAGAGGCAATATGATAGCCACCTTCAAATATCTGAAGGGCTGCCATGTAGTAGATGAAGCAGGCTAGTTTTTTGCAGACTAAGAGGACAGGACAGAAGTAATGGATTCAAGTTATAAAGAAGATTTCAGCCTAGCCTTATGAAGAACATTTTAACACTGAGACTTGTTTAAACTGACTGCTTGGAATGTGGAAGACAATCCAGATCTTTCCTCTTCTTCACTGGAAATACCTACGCAGAGCTTGGAAGGCAGCCTTTCAGGGATACTTTAACTGGAGACTTCCCGCACTGGCAGAGGGCTCTTGGGGCCCATTTCAGCTCTATAATTCTGCTTTCTACATTAGAATTGGTTTTAAATTGTATGCATACAAATTAATGAAATTTTAATTGGTTCATGACAAAAGGAAGATGGAATGTTGGATGAGTCCTTGTAGACTATATTATGCAATAAATTTACAGTAGGCTTCCCACCCACTTTCTGAGCTAATATGCCCAATGCTATTAAGAATTCTGTATAGTTGTATCACTATGAGGATACCTACTGGCAAGCACTATAATAGAA